AGAGAGAGAGAAAGAAATCGATTGATAAAGTAGATAAAGAATATAATAAATATATGTTTTTAATTAATTAATATAAAAATTATAAATATTTAATTTAATTTAATTAATTGGTAAATTAAAATCATTGAAAAAAATAGACAATTAAAAGACAGAGAGAGAGAGAGAGAGAGAGAGAAAGAAATCGATTGATAAAGTAGAAAAAGAGAATAATAATAATCTTGGACTGGTTCCCCTTGGGCTTGGGGATAAAAAATGGGCTAAAATAATCAGACAATTAAAATTTAACAGTAAATTTTCTTGGACTGATAATCTAGCCCATTAAATTTGTTGGGCTCTACTTCAGCTCAAATATGACCCCGCAATGTATACAGACTGACCTTGTGAACTGTACTACGTAAAATGTAAATAAACAATTCAATTCCAGTTTTCCTCGCCTTCGATGCTGGAAGTATTGCTTGTGGAAGGTTGAGGGAGGGAAGGAACCAAGCAAAAGAAAAGATTAAATAGCGAAAGGCCCATAAATTGCATGTTCCTTGTTTAGTTGTTTTAAAGAGATAAATGGGTCATCCAACATCAAAACAAAATGTTGGTGACTCACCCTTGGGCTTTATGGTAACCAGTCTTGTGAGTTGTGACTACTAATTAAGTCATTGTTCTTTAGCCATTAGGGGGGAAATGAAAACCTCCAGTACTGAGCTGGATTTGTCTAGTAACTCTAGTTGTTAACAAAACAAAATTTAATGCATGACATAAATATCTTGTAATCTTCAACGGTGTTCACATTTTCTAGGCATTCCTCTTCTTGTTTTTATAGCACTAATATGGTATAAAATACAAATCAAGAATCAACGGATTAACCAACAAATTTTTGATTATTTCTTTTTTTTTTTTTTTTTTTAGGGGTTTGAGTGTCTTTAAGTTAGTTTGTATGTATTTCAAGATTAATTTTTTTTAATCTATTATAGGTAAGTCATTCACATTAGAATTAGAAAATTTATGAAAAATTATTTTTTTATTAACCTTTAAAGAATTGAATCATAATTAATAAAGTGAAAAGTAAGCATTTTTATCAATTAAATTATATATAACTCCTTTAAGTAACAAATTGTAATTTAGTGTTAAAATTAAAGGTAAACTCTTGAAGTAGAGAAGAAAATAATAATAATAATAATAATTATTATTATTATTATTATAGCCGAATCAAAAGGTGAAGGTTGAGTTCAAAACAGTAAGAACCATAACATAACAATAGATAATTTTGCACAACAGATAATAAAGTACTAAATATATAGCTAGCGACCTATACTTTACGAGAAATAATTATATAATAAATTTCACTTGCTGCCTAGAAAGCAACTACTGTATAATTAAAGTTCCTTGTCGTTATGGGATCGACGATGTATCATTTTTTATAGGATGATGAATCACTTAGTAATAAGTATTTGAAAACAAGCTCTCTCTTATTTTTCTTTCTTAATTAATTAAGAATCCAATTTATAGCTCCGTCCTTCCTTTTGAGTTTTGTTGTTATGCAAACTGCATATAGTTCCTTTCTTGTCGCTTGAAATCTACTATTACGTACGAAAGCCAACAGCATTTGTCCCCATCTCATTCAATATTCCCAACAACTTACCACCATTTATAAAAAGTTAAATCCTATTTTGTTTTCTTAATTATTGTATGAATCCCTCATTTAATCTCTCAACTCAAAAAATCTTTGATTTAACCTTTACTATTTATCATTTTTACTCTAATTTGATCTTTCTATTAAAAATCTCATGACGTGACCTATTAATTTACAATTACATGATGACATGTCAGATATTAATACACGTAAAAAACAATATGACCAAAAAAATGATGATATGAAAAAAATAATAATATAAAAAAATGTTAATATGAAAAATAAAACTTAAAAAATTTTTTTGTTTTCTTTTTTCTTCTCTTTCCCTTTCCCTTTCCCTTTTCCTTTCTCTTTTCCCTTCTCTTGCCCCTTGGAACCCAGGAGCTGGGTTCCTTGGGTCCTGGGTCCCAAGGGCAGAAAATTAAAAAAAAAAAATTTTGTGAGTTTTGTTATTTGATGATGATAAAAAATTGATTGATGAAAATGAAGAATTGATTGATGAAAAAGGCAAGCCAAGGTAAGGAAGAGGAAGAGGAAGGAGAAAGAAAGGGTGTGGAACCCAGCATGCTTGGGTTCGAAAGAATCTAGGGCCAAAAAAATTTAAAAAAAAAAATTATTTTTTGTGGGTTTTTTTGTTTGATGATGATGAAAAACCTAACAAGGGTAGAAATTGGTTGAGATGTTAGAGATTGATTGAGATGAAAGGGTCTGCAGAAGGTAAGGAAGAGGAAGAGGAAGGAGAAAGAAAGG